TCCGCTCTCCCCGGACCCTGAATTCACTCTATCCGCTCTTCCCGGACCCCGCATTCACTATATATATGGTCTCCCCGGACCCTGCATTCACTCTATCCGCTCTCCCCGGACCCTGCATTCACTATATATATGGTCTCCCGGACCCTGCATTCCTATATCCGGTCTCCCCCGGACCCCGCATTCACTATATATGTTTATCCCCGGACCCTACATTCCCTATAATCCGCTCTCCCCGAACCCCGCATTCACTATATCCGGTCTCCCCGGACCCTGCAATCACTATATCCGCTCTCCCTGGACCCCGCATTCACTATATCCCACTCTCCCCGGACCCCGCATTCACAATTATATGTTCTCCCCGGACCCTGCATTCACTATATCCGCTCTCCCTGGACCCCGCATTCACTATATCCGGTCTTCCCGGACCCTGCATTCACTATATCCGCTCTCCCCGGACCCCACATTCACTATATCCGCTCTTCCCGGACCCTGCATTCACTATATCCGTTCTTCCCGGACCCTGCATTCACTATATCCGGTCTCCCCGGACCCTGCATTCACTATATCCACTCTCCCCGGACCCTGCATTCACAATGCATGTTCTCCCCGGACCCTGCATTCACTATATCCGCTCTCCCCGGACCCCGCATTCACTATATATGGTATCCCCGGACCTGCATTCACCATATCCGCTCTCCCCGAACCCCGCATTCACTATATCGGTCTCCCCGGACCCTGCATTCACTATATCCCACTCTCCCGGTCCCCGCATTCACATTATATGTTCTCCCCGGAACCTGCATTCACTATATCCGCTCTCCCTGGACCCCGCATTCACTATATCCGGTCTTCCCGGACCCCGCATTCACTATATCCTGCTCTCCCCGGACCCCGCAAACACTATTTCTCCCCGTACCCGCTCTTCCTTGCGGACCCTGCATTCACTATATATCCGCTGCATTCCCGGACCCCGCATTCACTATATTCTGTTCTCCCCGGACCCTGCATTCACTGTATCTGCTCTTCCCCGGACCTGTAGTTCACTATATCCGGTCTCCCCGGACCCTGCATTTCACTATATCCACTCTCCCCGGACCTGCATTCACTTAATGCTCCCCGGACCTTGTCATCTCCCCGGACCCTGCATTCACTATATCCGTCTCCCCGGACCCCGCATTCACTATATCCGCTCTCCCCGGACCCTGCATTCACTATATCCTCTCTCCCCGGACCCCGCAATTCACTATATCCTCTCTCCCCGGACTCTGCATTCACTATATCCGCTTTCCCCGGACCCTGCATTCACTATATGCCAGTCTCCCCGGACCCTGCATTCACTGTATCCGGTTCTCCCCGGACCCTGCATTCACTATATCTGACCTGTCTCCCCTCTCCCTGACCCTGCATTCAACTATATCCGGTCTTCCCCGGACCCTGCACATTCACTATATATCTGGTCTCCCCGGACCTGAATTTTGCAAAGCTCATTACCCGCATCACTATCCGGTCTCCCCGGAACCCGCATTCACTATATCCGCTCTCCCCGGACCCGCATTCACTATATCCGCTCTCCCCGGACCTGCATTCACTATATCTGGTCTCCCGGACCCTGCATTCACTATATCCGGTCTCATCCCGGACCCTGCATTCACTATATCCGCTTCTCCCCGTTCACCTGCATTCACTATATCCGCTCTCCCCAGACCCCAGCATTCACTATATCCGCTCTTCCCGGACCCCGCTTTCACTATTCAGTACGCTCTCCCCGGATCCCCGCATTCACTATATCCGCTCTTCCTGAACCTGCATTCACTATATCCGCTCTCCCCGGACCCCTGCATTCACTATGGATGTTCTCCCCGGACCCTGCATTCACTATATCCGCTCTCCCCGGACCCTGCATTCACTATATCCGCTCTTCCCGGCCCCAGGCATTCACTATACATGGTCTCCCGGACCCCGCATTCACTATATATGTTCTCCCTGGAAACCCTGCATTCACTCTATCCGCTCTCCCCGGACCCCGCAATTCACTCTATCTGGTCTCCCCGGACCCCACATTCACTATATCTGCTCTCCCACAGTACACAGAATCATGGAAATGCAATTATTTTTGTAAATATAAACTGCTAAATACCTTTTCTCATCAGCAGTATATAGCAGTCTTCTGACTTCTGTCAGTGTCTGTAGAGCACTGCTTAAAGCTTGTAGGATGAGTTTTCTTTCTGCTCTAGGAGGATGCAGGACCCCTGACCGCTGTCTGCTGGACAGTGTTGATTGCCTTGTGCTGATCACATGCACTCTCTCAAGAAAAAAAAAAGAACCTCTCTAGCAATACACACCAAACTGAGCATGTGCAGTGTCTCCACACCATATGTCCTTTCAGGAGATAACAGGGAGGCACTGGAATTAGGGGGGGGATCAGATAAAACAGGATCAAACATCCTTTTTACACAATGCGGAGGATTAACCCTTTAGGTCCCACAGTGAGTATACAAGCATGCTTTACTGCATCTACAGACTGATTGTACTGTTGTGGGTTTAGTAACACTTTAAGGATGCTGGCAGGTATGTGTTTATTTACAATTGACTTGTTTGTGAATGAGTTCCTTTTATTCATTCATGCTGAGGGGACAGATATCCAGGGGTCCCCTTATCTCTCAAAGGGAACTTCAAGGTTCTGATAAGCCCTGCACCCCCCAACCTCCGAGCCAGGGTCGTGGGAAACAGGCCCTTGTTCTGAAAGGATTAATGGAATATAACCGAATCCATTTTGTACACACTAAATACAAGATTTACATATGCAGGGGCGGACTGACAAACTCATGGGGCCCCGGGCAATAGGGGATCATGGGGCCCTTGTGTCCTACCCAAACTCAAAAAAGCCTATGAAAAAGATACCAGGGACATCTCATGGGGCCCCTTACTGGACCCTGGGCCCTCGGGCAGTGCCCGAGTTTCCAAATGGTCAGTCCGCCCCTGTACATATGAACTTTGTACACACTAATACAACTGTCCATGAAAGCTTTATGTAGAAATACGTGTTTTTGCAAACTTTACAAAAAAGGAGATAACCTTTACTCTCATTTCTGGAAAGTTGTAACCAGGGGCGGACTGACAACTCATGGGGCCCCTGGGCAATAGGGGATCATGGGGCCCCTGTGTCTTCGCCCATGCTCAAAACAACCCCAAAAAAGCCTATGTAAGGTACCAGGGGCATCTCATGGGGCCCCCTAATGAACCTGGGCCCTTGGGCAGTGCCCGAGTTCCCGAATGGTCAGTCCGCCCCTGGTTGTAACCACAGCTTGGACGTTAGGCCAGATATGGTGTAAAAGATAAGGCAGAAACTTGGGTGTAAATGCAGATATCATACAAATAATTGTTGAGTTAACCCCCCTGGCGGTATTCCTGAGTGTAGCTCGGGGTAAAGTTTCAGCACCACAAGCGGTAACCCCCCCGAGCTACACTCAGGAATACACTGCAGCGCTGCTCCGGGATCTCTTCTTCACTTACCTTGTCCTTCGCTCCCGCGATGTCCCTCCTGCAGTGTCCCCTGTAATCTCCTCCGGCCGATGCCGGCATCTGTCTTCCGGGTTCCGTCCCCTGCGACGTCGGGACGTACGGGGGACGGAACTGGCGGGAGATTTGAAAATTGTAAAAGTGACATTCACTAAACACACTAAAATCACATAGTATAACATTCCTGTATCAAACCATTTCACATACATTTTGTCCCAAGTGCTTTGTCCGGCGCCCTGCCTGCATTTTTACTGTTCTTTCTGCCTGGAAACTGAGAAACGTCCATGGCGTCCAAAAAGCGTCCCTTTAGATCAGACGCGGTTTTAGACCGGCTAGAGAACAGCGATAGTAAATCAGAACCACTTGCAGAATTGAGTGATAATGATTCGTGGGGAAAATTCCTCATCAGACACTGAAAACGATTCTGCGACTTTGCTCAGCGAGAACTTGGCGCTATATTTCACATTTCAGTGTTTTTGGTTTGATTGTATTATTGAATTAAATTTATTATTATTATATTATTATTTTTTTTTATGATTATTTATTAAATTATAATTTATGATTTCGTGTTTCAAATTTTATCATCCCCGGGATGTTTACTAGACTCTTGTTCGGACAGATTTCAGTGAGTTATTCCTAAAAATTACAGGCCTACAATAAAAAAAGGACATATTTCCATGCAAAAAAATGTACCACTTTGAGCACAGAAATACGGACATAATCAGACCGCTAGGGAGGTTAAGGTAAAGACAATGTCCATGTATTTGATTGGCTGGTCTGAAGGGGTGTTATCTGGAGTCTGTCCGAAGGCTATAGTATAAAAACCCTGATGTTATGCCAATAAAGCTGAAGTGTTTGCAATCGCAACTGAGGTGACTCGAGTGCACTAATTTTCCAAGATCTCGTAGCTGTGTCCAGGTGTGACCATTGGTACCTGAGGGGGCCCCCAAGGAACAGGAAAAAGACTGCCTACCTACCAAAACATGCCCCCTTCATATTGATGGCACTTGACCTGGTGTGGTTCAGAAGGAACCCCTTCCTTTCCTGGTCTGCTTGGATTAAAGGTCTGATATGTTTTTTTGGGGGCGAAACGCGTATGTGGAGCATGTGGGAGCTGCATAGCTGGACCTCTGGAATTTTCTTGGTATCCCCACAGTCTGTGACCACTGTACTGTTTATGGACTTTCTAGAAACTATTCGTGTTGCTTTGCATGTGAATAGTCAGATGACTAAAATCCGCCCTTATTTTATTATACTGCAAGCAGACACATTGCACTGCAGGCTATACGATGCTGCATAGAGTGGATCTATTCTCTTCCACAGACGCATTTCAGTCCTTTTCTAAAATAAATTTGCATAGCCATTGCTCAAGCACCTCTGCATGTGAATTGGGTCAAAACAAATGTTCTTTAGGCTAATTTCTCTTCCGAAAAATTGTACTTTAATTATCGGCGGTACTAAGATACCACAATATGGCCACT